TCTGCTGGAGTGGAGTATCGACAGTTGTATTATCAGTTAACTCAGCTTGATTTAGAATATCTGAGAGATACTTCTGTTGAGACAGTAATACACCCCGCGGGCCTTGAGAAATTTCTAGACCAAGGAAATACCGAAGAGATCCAAGATCCTTCATGTGGAACTGTTGTTGCAACTGAGATTTTGCGTATTGTATACCTGTCATATCATCACCTGTAATGATCATATCATCTACATAGATGAGTAATAAAACCCTGCCACGCGATGTAGTGCGAACAAACAGAGAAGCATCTTGATGACTTTCTATAAAGCCCGCTTTGAGCACAACATCGCGAAAACACTCAAACCAAGCGCGGGGTGCCTGTTTGAGACCATAAACAGCACGACGAAGGAGACATACATGTCCCGGAGGAATATTTGACCCTGGAGGCGGTTGCATATATACGGTCTCTGATAAAGAGCCATGAAGAAAAGCATTTTTGACATCCATCTGGTATAAGGGCCAACGATGAGCAGCAGCGACCGCAAGGAGAGTACGCACAGTGGGCATCTGAGCAACAGGAGCAAAGGTCTCCTCATAATCAATACCTTGTTGCTGAGTAAAACCTCTAGCCACTAAACGAGCTTTTCGACGTTCAATGGTGCCATCAGGACGAAACTTGACCTTATAAACCCATTTACTGCCAACAAGAGAGATCCCAGGAGGACAGGGAACAATATCCCAGGTATGAGTTTGCTGAAATGCTTGAAATTCCTCAGCCATAGCTTGTCGCCACTCTGGAATTTGAACTGCCTCTTGGAAGGACTTTGGCTCAACAATAGTATGAATGGCAGCAAGAAAGTTATGAAAGATAGGTGAATAAGAAGTAACAGAAGCATACCGGGCAGGCATGACATGTGGGCGTTTGCCTCGACGAAGAGCAAGAGGAACCTCAGGCGGGGGAGATGCTGGCGCAGGTGCATGAAGATCAACAGTATTTTCTGGAGTGAGAGTTGTGTCCACAGGATATGGATTAGATGGTGTAAGAGAAGACTCAGGTGAGGAAGAGTCAACAGAAGGAGAGGGAGAGATGTCAGGGAGATCTCGAAAGGAAAATTGAGGTGAAGAAGTGGGTGATGCAGTGGACGGGGAAGCATGATCGGTAGAGTGGAGGAAATTAAAGTCATCAGAAGTAGAATAATATGGAGAATCCTCTTCGAACTGAACATGACGAGATATATGAACTCGACGAGTTGCGGGATCATAACAACGATAACCTCGATGTTCTGAACTAATTCCTAAATAAACACAAGAAACTGCTCTGGGAGACAATTTATCACGTTCGTGAGATGGCAGAAAAACAAAACATCGACAACCAAAAACGCGAACTAGATCATAACGGGGAGGATGAGTATAAACACGACTATAAGGAGTAGCACCGGAAAGAGAGCTAGATGGAGTGATATTAATGGCATGAGTCGCGGTGAGAATAGCCTCAGCCCAGAAACGACGAGGAACAGAGTAAGAAATGAGCATTGATCGGGCAGTATCGAGGATATGACGATGTTTGCGTTCAGCAACACCATTTTGCTCATGAGTGTAGGGACATGACTGTTGAAAGATAGTCCCATGAGAGGACATGATAGAGCGCATGGCAGAGGATAGGTACTCTTTGGCACAATCAGAACGAAAAACTTTAATACGAGATTGCCATTGAGTGAAAATCATAGCAGTGAAGGCTTGATAAGCAGTAAGTACGTCAGAGCGATTCTTAAGTAGGTAAACCCATGTAAAACGAGAGAAATCGTCGATAAAACTAACATAATATAAGTAGCCAGATGAAGAAGGCAAAGGAGCTGGCCCCCAAATATCAGAATGTACTAAATCAAATAAGGAAGTGGATACAGATGTACTCATTTTAAATGGTAAAGCAGTGAATTTAGCCAATTTGCAACCAGCACATGACTCAATACTAGAACTAGATGATACAGGACCAAGTACTCCAGACTGAATAAGACTCTCCAGCCTTTTATTACACACATGACCAAGTCGTCTATGCCATAAATTGGCAGGAAGCGAGGTAGAGGGTTTTGACGAACAAAGAGAAGCAACAAGAGAACGTGGACGTATGGACTCTGGAAGGTGAAGATATTCCAGAAAATACAGTTTGTGCCTCCTACGACCCGCCCCAACCGTCTTGCCCGTCTGTGGATCCTGCACAATACAAGTATCAGAAGAAAATGAGACAAACAGGCCCGCCATGCATAAAGAGCTAATAGAAATTAAATTCAAGCACAATTGTGGAGCCACATAGACGGGACCAAGTGTTAGACGACCAGATGGATCATTTTGTGGGGTAATAGAGCCATACTGAGTAATGGACAATGGTTGTCCAGCAGCTGTGTAGATAGGAGGAAGAGAGGATGAAGTAAAGACAGAGGATAAAAGTGAGGCATTACAAGTCATATGAAAGGAACAACCAGAGTCAAAAATCCAGAGATCATTCATACCAGAGACTGAAGGATTAGCTGAAGAACCAGCAAAATGCATACCAGAGAGTTGTGCGGCGGATGTAGAGGTGATATGTTGAAAAGCATCAAGTTGACGGCGAAGACTTTCAATAGCTTGAATAGTAGAGTCTGAAGTAGTAGAAGGTATAGCATTGGCCAACAATCCTGGTGTACGAGAGGGTTGAGACTGAGGGGGTCGCCGACCACGTCCAGTACCTGAGGAACGTAACTCAGGATGAAGCTTGAAGCATGTCTCAATGCGGTGTCCTTCCTTCTTACAATATTTGCAAGAGAGCTTAGATCGAGCCTGTGGAGAGGGAGCCTGTGGAGAAGTATAATTCATAACAGGAGCAGTGACAGGTACAGACAAAACAGTCTCGAGTGAAGAGGTAGGAGTGTCTGTTGACAAATTGAGTCGTGCTGTCTGCTGCCGGGTCTCATAAGCAGTGAGAGCTCCCATAACTGAGGCCAAAGTCGGAAATTGAGGCTGGTGAAGTAGTTGATCAGCCATAGTTGAATATTCAGGAAGGGACTGAAACAATTGATGCACCTCATGCCGTTCGTACCAGGCTAGCCAGTCTTCATATGTGGAATTACGTCCAGGAAGCATGGAGCGTAACTCTGTCCAAAAAGCTTGCATTTGTCCAAAATGGGACTGCAGAGATGAACTACCTTTGCGTTGTAGAGAAATGCGTTGCAGAAGATATGCCTCCCGTGCACCCGAGCACTCAGTGAAACGCTCAGTGAGACGAGTCCACATGGCCTGAGCAGAGGGAAGCGAGCCAATCTCGACAGTGAGACCAGAGCCAACACAGCGAGTGAGATAATCCATAACACGAAATTCCTGCAATTGCCACTCTGAACTCTCCTTGACATAGAGAGCACGAGCAGTCTGAAGATCGACATCACCACTGCCAGAGGCAATAGTACTGGATGAAGCAACAGTGCTGATGGACGGTGGAACTGGTCCCGTACTGGTGAGATGATCAAGCAAACCAGCGCCACGCAAGGCATTGGTGACAATGGTGGACCACCCTGCCCAGTCACTTTGATCATTGAGGGGCAAAGGTGGTTTGGGAATCTTCTCTGAAGGAGCCATAACAGCAATCTTGAGACGTTAAGATGTCGAGATGCTGTTACTAATGTCGTTCGTTTGAGGCCGAGAGACGGCTTGAAACGACGATGCCGTTAATTTGAGACCGAGAGACGGTCTTGAAACGACAATGCCGTTAAAATAGAACCCGAAGGTTAGAATGAAACCCGAAGGTTTAAAATAGAACCCGAAGGTTAGAATGAAACCCGAAGGTTTAAAATAGAACCCGAAGGTTAGAATGAAACCCGAAGGTTTAAAATAGAACCCGAAGGTTAAACGAGAACGCGAAACGCGTTAAGAGGCCGCAAAACGACAAGGCCAAAATATCTGGCAGATGAACGCCAAATAATTAAAAATAAAAATAAAAAAAATAAAACATTAAACGGCTGCAAAGCAATAAGGCCAAGATTTGGCAAAAGAACGCAAAAGCGTTAAAAATTTTATTGAAAGGGAAATAGCCCTAGCTCTGATACCATGTTAAAGTAAGAGAGAGAGAGAGAGAATCTTGGGTAAATTTCCCTTGAATTGAATATTGAGTGTGCACATATATTTATACAAGTAGAGGAGTGTGAGGTTTGTTCTCCCAAGCAATGTGGGACTAAAACCCACTACAATACACTATTATCAACAATTCCTATAATGCAAGGATTCCTATTGGATACTTGAGTTTGAATGAAGTTAGAATGCTAATCCTAAATCAAACTAGACTCCTACTGATCAGTCTACAGTATGGATTAATAGGTCCTATAAATAACCTTCATGTATGTAAAATCCATGCTCTCTATCTTGCTTCTCTACGATTTTTACGTCCCATTCGGCATAGGTTTAAGGAAAAGGGCGGGATCGAGAGAAGGTTTAATCTCGTTAACCCATTTGTGCGACCGAAGAAATTGAATTAGTTAACCTGTTAGGTATATTTATTTGAGTCTTTTTTTTCAATCTTTGTACAGTTTAGGAATAATGAGGATTACGACTACTTGTGATCGTGTTGTATATTCTAGAGGATTGTCTTCATATTTTGGAGTTGTCAGGGTTGACTCAGGTGCCATCTTTGTTGACAATACTCCAGTTTTTGGCAATTGCTATCTTATATATGATCATGTCCCTAGTGCCCTTTTCAGAATGATGGAGTGAAGCATCCTCGTAACTTGGCGTCAACTGAAGAATATGCAGATATAAAACTTATATATGTATATACAATAAAAGTTTAATAATTCACTTTTACTTCAAGTCTGCAAAAAGAAGCATGGAAAGAGATCTGCAGCATTAGCTACCAGCAGCAGCACCGCCTCCATTACCACTTCCTTCTCTAACCCTTTCAAGCCAAGGCATCACTGATCTCAATACTATTGTCCACCTAATTAAAGTTAAGTACTATATATATATCTGATGCATTAATATCATTGCATTGCCCCTCATCAGATAACTGAGTAAAGAGAGATGAAGATCCAAGTTATGGTGATGCTGTTGATGATCATGGGTGCTCAAAACACCTATTCAGAAGATGAGAAACAAAAATGTGAAGCGATATCTGATTTACTCAGCAATGACGTTATAATGCCGACGACGAAATTTTGGAGCCAGGGAAGTAAGGGGAGAGTCCCTGTGAATGTGGAGGCCTTCGGTGCAGTTGGTGACGGAGTCACAGATGATACCCAGGTAATGTAATTTAGTATGTTGATAGCTTTTCCGCAGTCACCAGCTCCAGATGTTTACAGCAGGAAAGAATTTGTGTATCGTTATTTACAGGCGTTTCGTGATGCATGGGATAAAGCGTGCTCGTTGAATAATGCAGTATTCCTAGTGCCAGAGCACCGTCGATATAAAGTTAACGCTACGAGGTTTCGAGGGCCTTGCGGAGACAGGTTGCTTGTTCAGGTATTTATCATCTGTTATTTGTTCTTTAAAATTTCTCTTTTTTTTTTTGGAGAGAAGTTGTTGCGAGAAATTTGTATCGTTGACATCTCAAGATCGATGATTTATTTATAAGCAAATTACGGGTGCTTTTAAGGCACTCTCATCTGACTCTGTGTCATGTGATTTTCTTGTTGATCTAGAACAATTTGTCAGACAGAAAGCTTTCTATATTTATCTATTTCATATAATGATTGTATACATAGAAATGGAAAAACCGATGATTCTGGTTCAAAAATTGTTGATAGTTGGAGATAGGAACAGCAACTCATTATAAACTCTCAAATAAATGACAGGTCAGTGGGACCATTGTAGCTCCTGAGGAGCCCGAGGATTGGGATCCGACGAACCCGAGGACTTGGCTCCATTTCTCAAATCTTTCAGGTGTCAGGATCCAGGGAGGTGGGGTTATCGATGGCTCGGGCAGTAAATGGTGGGCTAGTTCCTGCAAGATCAATAAGACCAATGTAAATGATAATAATCAGACATTATCCCGATCATGTTGAGTTTTCTTTAGATTAATTTCTCATTTTATTTCTCGGTAAATTAACGTTTTATGTTCCCCACTTGTCTGTTTCAGCCATGCAAAGCGGCTCCAACGGTAAGAACACAAAGATCTCTATGCAGATTAGTTGAAGGGTGATTTTTACAGAACTCCAAGAAATTTGGCCCATTTTGACATGAACCGCAAAAAAGTTTGGAAATGCCACTTAGCTCCCAAAACTTTTTACAGTTTTATGGATGTGTTCCCAGGTGAACCCCAACATTTCGCAGTTAGCTGGGAAGAAGTTTCGGGGGTTAAGTGACATTTCCAAACTCTTTAGGGATTATCTCAAACCGTGCCAAACTTCGTCGGGGTTTGCGAAATTCACCTCCAAAGACAAGGAGAATTGCATTGGTAATCTAGTCATTTTGATAATGTTGCAGGCGTTGACGATTGATTTGAGCACGGGGGTAAGAGTGAAGGGCATAACTGTTCAGAGCGCGCAGCAAATGCATTTCACAGTTTCCAGGTCGGAAGCTATAAGAATCACTGGCGTCAGAGTGCGGTCCCCACGAGACAGCCCGAATACAGATGGAATTCATATCGGTGAATCCACTAATGTTGTCATCCAAAACTGCAAAATTGGGACGGGTACGAGAATCACACTATACTTACTAGTTTTTTTACTTCCTGATACCTAAACGTAGTCAACTTCTGTCTTTAGAAAAAAAAAAACTTGTAAATAAATAAATAAAATAAAATCATGTTGCTGATTATTCTAAGAGATGATGTTTTTTTCTTCTGTGGTTGTTGTAGGAGATGATTGTATTTCAATTGTGAATGCTAGCTCAAAAATAAAGATGAAAAACATTGATTGTGGACCCGGGCATGGAATCAGGTAAAACTCTTTATTCAAACATATGCATGTATGTCTACTGTATTCATGCATGCATGCATGCATGTATGCCACTTTATAGGTTTCTTCCTAGCAAAGGTATCTGTTTCTCTAAAGTTTATAGTTCAGATGTGCATGGACAGAACAAAAACTATGAATAACATCTGATTCTGTAGATTTTATTATTTGCTACACCATATTAGCCTTTAGACATCCTAAATAAATGTGTTAGAGTTTTATTAGAGTGAAATGACAAATTCAAATGGAAAGGGCCGTTTACTCCCAAATAGCTTTCAAACTAGCAAGTTTCCCTCTTCTATGTCTGTTTGTGTTCGCGCATTTTTGTTTGACGAAATTTTTTTTGTGCATTAATAAATGTATCGTATCTTAATTCTGATGTTAGCATAGGGAGCCTTGGTAAGGACAATTCTACTGCCGCAGTAACTGGTATCGTCTTGGACACAGCAACACTCACAGGTACTACCAATGGCCTAAGAATCAAGACCTGGCAAGTAAGTATCCTATGATCAAATAATATTAATCCATCGAATCATGAGTTCACAGTTTTCATGTATGATGGTGATAAAAAATCAAATGTCTGAGCAGGGGGGTTCTGGTTATGTTAGATCAGTACGCTTCGAAAATGTCAAGATGAGTGATGTAGAGAACCCGATCATTATCGACCAATTTTATTGTGATTCGCCAGTTTCGTGCAAGAATCAGGTAAGGCTATGTTTATCAAGTTCTTTCATGAAAATCTGCATGCTGCTGGAAACGTATTAGTATTTGCTTAGAGTTCAATCCAAAGTAAACTCTAATGATTGTGCAACATATTTCACAATTTAATGTATCCATTACCTAACGAACTGTTTGTTTTTCTGTATATGCCTACATGTTCTACTCATAAAGAAAAATATTATGCAGAAATACCAACATTAACATTAATAATTGGATAAAATTTCACAAAGCCCCCTATATTTTGGCGCATTTTGGATATGCCTCCTGAACTTTTAGAAATGTCACTTAAACCCCCTAACTTTTGGGTGTGTCACAAACCCCCAAAACGTTTGCGAATTATCAACATGCCTATTTTCAGCAAACCCCCAAACTCCAACATTATTTTCATAAAACCACATGAAGTTCAGATGCTGTTTCATAGAACCCCCATTACGCCACTAGGGGGTCATCTTAAAAATTTGCAAATGTTTTCTGACACTCTCAAAAGTTTTAGGCTGGTTAAGTGACATGTTTAAGTTCAAAGTGGTTATCTAAGATTCTCAAAATGTACCAACAATAGCAGCGTTCTGCGACATTTACCGATAATAATCACATATTGTTGTTTTGCCTCAGACATCAGCTGTGAAGATCAGCCAGGTCATATACAGAAACATCAGCGGCACCTCGAAGAATTCGAAGGCCATGAAGTTTGCTTGCAGCGACACAGTACCCTGCAGCGGGATTGTATTGAACAACATCAACCTAGAGAGAGAGAATGGCAGCTTGGAGACCTTCTGCAATTGCGCCATGGGGTTTGATTTCGGAGTTGTGAGGCCTGCAGCAGATTGCCTGAAAAATGATAAGAACTCGCGTTGTGATGCGAATTCGCAGGACAGCGATCAAAAGCTAATTCACACAGAGCTATGATCGTGTGCTGATACGTTCATTATCTGTAATTGTCCTCGTGGCGTAATTTGCCTATATAGTTACTAGATTGGCACCTCCAAAGAAATTTTAGTAAAATAGCAAAAGTATATATTGAGTACATCTATTTTGTTTCGTCTTTGAAGTTGGAATACTAGTATAGTTTACGGGTCATTCAAGAGCGTATGTAAATAGATATTATGTTTCCCTGTGGATCACTGCATCGTTACATTATATTTAGGATTAAGAACAGTCGCAATCTGACCCGCTTTTGACATATTTATCGTCACTTGATTATCATATTCACTTATTTGGGCTTCTATTGAATCGAGAAATAGGTTTGATTGTACATCTTTTTGATATATACGGTATCCTGCGGATAATTCAAATCGAAGCAATTTGATGTTTAACTCGGGACTATATGACATCACCGATCGATATAAACACTCCATCCACCTTTATCATATATTCCATATATCGCACTAGATAGATATCATGGTCATGGAACATGATTCACTTTCAAGATGCCTTGATGGTGAAATAGTAGATTTGTGAGACTCAAACTCTCACGCTGAAGAGGTGGAGGTTTGAGTCCTCCTCAAGGCTAGGGTTGGGCGCGGGCCAGGTCGATCTGCGGGCTGACCCGGCCCAACTTGGCATGGCTCACGACCCGATCAGGCCCGTAATGGGCCGGGTCGGACCATGCCATGATATACGCGGGTCACTGATCGGGCTGGGTCTAGCTCCAGACCCGGGACGAGAGAAATTGAACCGGCCCACCATGACCCGGTCCTACCCGAAAATTTAATTTTTAATTTTTTTCTAAAATATAAATAATAATCTATATAAATAAGAACATCAGTACGTTGCGGCTCCCAGCCATAGGCTTGTTAACAAGGCGGCCCGAGAAGGCCAGCCAACAGGGGGGGCCCCCGTGGCGCAGCAGACCAGCATAGCTTGCTGGACACAAGCTGGTTTTTTGGCCTAGTTAAAAAATTTTTAGACTGTTAATTTTTTTTTTAGCTTGCTAAAAGATCTTAGGCTGCTAAAAAGATCAGGCTAAAAGGATTCTCTTTTTAGCAAGCAAAAAATAAGATTAGCAGGCTAGAGAATCTTATGTTTGTAATTTAAATTTAAACTAAAGGAAAGTTATTAACTTCCCACGGATGTGGGTCTTCCGTCGAATTCCAAATCACGTATATCTTTGTGTTTGTAATGTTTTATCTTTGTACAAGGTGTGTCACTATGTGTGTATTAGTGTGTATATATATTATTTTAAATAAAGAATAAAATAGAAAAAAATAATTTAAATATAATTTAATAGATACAAATATAAAGTTAATATATTTATAAATTAAAAATAAATAAAAGTTAAAAAACCCACGGGCTAAACCCATGAACGCGTGGGTCGTGGGCCAAGGCCCAACGCTGGCTGCTCCTCTAGAGCGAGTCGTGGTGCGTCTGGGTTTCAATCCGAGAACGTCGGATCAGAGAAATATGCGCCGACCCACTCCTGACACGCGGGCAGCTGCAGGTCGACCCATAACTGTCCAGCCGCGACCTTGAACGCCAGCGACCCCCGAGCCGGGTCACGGACCTGAACCGGCCCGGCCCACGCCCACGCCCACGTCCGCCCCTACTCAAGGCATAATATTGAGAATGACAAATTTTTAAAATAGACCCTATTAGTAATTTGTTTTTAAGAAACAACCCCTTTGAGTTTTAATTGCCATTTTTGACCAGCCTGGCTGAAACTAAGTTAAAAATGGCAAATAAAGTTCAAAAACTTATCGCAAATGGTAAATAAAGTTCAAAAATTTCATGAGATTTAAAATCTCGTGAAGTTTAGTGCCTGATTAACCATGCTAATGAAGTTGTAGAAGAAATACGCCCAAACTTCACGGGATTTTAAATCTTGTGAAGTTGCAGGCCCACAAGATTTCAAATCTCGTGAAGTTTGGTTGTAGTTTCAAATAGCTTGGTTTATTTCATGATTAGGCTGAGTAATTTATCCACTAAACTTCACGGGATTTTAAAACCCTTGAAGTTTTCGATCTTTATTTACCATTTTCGACTTGGTTTGGTTGAAACCAAGTTGAAAATGGTAATTAAATTTCAAAGAGTCGGTTTTTAAAAATAAATTTCTAATAGGGTCTATTTTGAAAATTTTTCCTATTGAGAATGCTTATTGAATTAGCAACTCAATAGTAGATTTTGGATCTAATCAATATTGATATGACAAATATCTTATCTATTGATACGAAGCATTTCGGCAATCCCCACGATCTGAGTCCAAACTGTTAGAATTAGAATAGATTTGGCAATAGATCACACGATCTTCTTTATCTGATGAACGAGGGAAATCTGTTCGTCAGACTCACTAAGCACCCGCCCCCCCTCCCGCTCCCCATCCCGCCCCCCTCTTCCGCGAGCAACTAGCCTACCCCCTCAAGTATATGATTCAACAGAAATCACACAAGGATAGGTTGATAGAAAACTCTAGTAAAATACCCACCAGTACTCCTAATCCAGCGGATAAAGTACATTACATCGCTCGTTTTAGGGTTGGTGGCTACTGACTTATTCGTATATATATTGATGTAATTGTAAAAAAAATGTTATTTTATGTTGGATTTTGGAAGTTCAACGAAGTTTCATCAGATTCTATATACCGTAAAGTTAATTGGGACAGCCAATAACATGAAAATTCCAGGGAGTTCAACATGACATGGTTCAACTGCACATTTGATATGTATAACGTGGGAACTTGGAAGCTAACGACTTCTGAATTTCCAAAACTTGAAACTTGATACCTGATGGCCTGTGGGCTCTTTAGTACTTCAGAACATCTCATCACATCTCATTAATCGATAAGCTTGTGTTGTCCATATTAGTGTCTTCTACATTTAGAATGAACAGGTTGAGAGCGTCTCACTCTTCATCATATGATTGATTTGTAAGAGCATCTACAATTTGGTACGATAGCAACACATACCATCAAAATCAACGGACATTTGGATGATATATAATCTCCTCAAACTTGGTGTTCTGATACAAAAGCTTAAAAGCTTTGGTCTCTTTCATGACGTTCCATTTCACCAGCCATCTCTAGTCCAGTGGCATTCAACTTAGTGCGTAAACAAAATAATAAATGCATAAATAAAAAGCCTGCAGGCATATACTAATTACTTTTTAGCTGCATACTAAACTCTTTTCGATCTAGACCTTAGTGAGACTAATATTCATGGATCATTGAGCTAATTTACTTGCTAACAAGGGTAATATGGCAATAAATCCCAATTCTTATTACACTTGTTCTTATGAAGATAGAAACTTATAAATCTTTGATGCGCAATGTAACCCTCCACGACTTAGCTCATATTGCAACAACAAACAGAATCATCATCACTCATCTGTTAGCAGTTACGCACTCAACTCAGGTATGGGCACCCGCCAATCGAACTAAAGCAGCATGGCTCAATTGCATCGAACTCTATGAAGACGTGATTCTCACAATAAAATGCTCGATGAGACTATCTGCATCTCTTGAAGGTCTGCAGACCTGGCTCAGCACTGCTGTGGCAAACATCTTAGTAACTTACACGCTGTTAACGGAGAACAGAGAAAGGGGAACTGTGACTGGGCATCAGTTGGCTACCGCGAGCTTCTTCAGTAGTTAACAATGGTGAAGGCGAACATTGTTGTTGCTCAAGATGTTATGACAAAATACTTTAACGTGAGCTATTCCTCAATTAATAACTACTAAAAATTTTCAACAAAATTAGTCAAATATAGGGATAATCATTCGCGCATTACAAATTTAAAGCTGACGTCAAGAATTTTTCTCTACCGTTTTTAAAGAGGTATTAGGTTTTCCAACACTCCAGAGGTGACAATATGCTACACGCTACCAAAAACTGGACACGCCCATAAATCATTTCTTACAAGAGAAACCATATTTTTATTACATCAGCTTTATTAGACGCTGCACAACCCAAAACCAAAATTGTGAAATCATATCAATCACACTGGAGCATATAAGTGAGAGCACACATCCGCCTCAATTCAAAACAAAGGAACAATATCATATGCGTATTCGTTGTGGCTCGCTTATGCATGTAGTATTTAAATTAAAAAATGAAACCTTGTAGTCTATGTGATAACAGTGGGAGCGGATCGGCCAGTGAACTCCTGCATCTTTGAAAGCTTCAGAGCCACATCCACCTGAGGCAGGAAGAAAAGCAATTCTATTAAGCAAATTACAATAAAATCTGGTTTATTATCTGATTCTTGTTGTAGAGAAATCCTTCAAATCTGTTATGTGGACGATTAATATCAGTTATAAAATTTCCTGGATAGTCCATGCATATATATAAGGAGATCATATTGGTCACATAAATAATATAGAGGATAACTAAAATTCTGATTTCTTACAAGAGGAGAAAGTGCTTCTTGTGAGTCCCTTCCAGTCTTGGAAGAGTCCTTTTCATATTGCTCGATATAGAGCCTGATGGTGGCTCCCTCGGAGCCAGTTCCAGAGAGGCGGAATACCTAGATCGCACAAATGAAGATATATCAGCAATTTACTTATTGCCATCACTGAAATTCTCTTGATTGCTTAAATAATGAATATTATTTAATAGTTTCAGCATGAAGAAAATGCAGGCTCATAAGATGAGTCTGGAGCTAGAGGAATCAGAGCTACAATCAAACTTTTGCATGAGAGGAAAAAATGATAATTAATAATAAGTTAGAAAGTATCTACCAATCGTGAACCATCCTTAAATAGATAACGGACACCCTGGTGCTTAGAGACGGAACCATCAACAGGGTCTTTGTATTCGAATTCATCTGCTTCAGCAACATCAGCAACATCTGATCTTATTCCGTGGATAATCCTATGAGAAAACACATGCATTTTGCATCTATAAATAAATCTCCGATACACAAATTGTAAATCCTATGATGTAAAAACATTATATTGGCCTCTAACCAAGATACAAAACAAGGAAAGAGTTTCAATTTCTAAATTTAGTCAGGTCCCAGGAGATTATCAGAAGCATCTAAAGGTAATGTTCAGATAGGATTTGCACGCATATATAATGGTAAACGTCAGCAGTAATTTAAGAAGTGATTGGAAGAAAACCATACTTGTTAACGTCTGGAAGGGTTGATTGTAGTTTGATCAAATATGTCATAAGTTCCTTAGCTGCACCAGCATCAACATTCTGTACATAGAAAACTAGCGTCTTAGGACACCTTCATAACTTAAAAAACTATTAATGAATGTAGGGGTAAGAAGTAAGGATAACTATGTAAATCTTAATTTTGAAGAAAGTAAAACATAGCATTCTATTACTCTACCTCATAGTCATATCGAGTGTAATAATGGCGACCATAAGTTGTCCAGTGCTGGCGAACTATGTCTTCCACTGTAACTAGCTTATTCCCACCAATATTGTCCTTATTCTTGAAAGCAAGAATGGAAAGCCAAGCTAAGACGGCCCAGATTCCATCCTTTTCACGTATATGATCAGAACCTGAAAAAGAACCAATATACAGTAAATATATTCACTATAAACTAGAGGTTTTATAACCAGAACATGATTATTTGATACAGCATGAGAAGAAATGAAGTTCCAAAGAAAAATTTGCTAAGATATGCTTCTGAAACAAAAATTAAGCTAGAAGTGCAGACACTTCAAAAACGAAGATGTACTGGGTTGGAGACGTGCCAAACACATGTGCCAGGATTCAGGAACGTGTATTGGTCAAAATAAAATCTACGCACGTACTTTTTCCGGACTTTTGTGTCTGTGTATTGCATCATAATATCATATTTTATACATGTCCATATGTCCTATTCACATCCGTGCAACATACAATGATACAATTAAGTTATTTATTATGAGACTCAAAGAATCCAAAATATATAGAAAACTGACATTCTCACACAATCTAACCAGCTTGACCTGAAAGTTCAAGATTCGGACATCTGTTCAATGCAGACTTTAGGAGTAAATTAGCAGTCAGAAAAAAAAATCAGAAGCAAGCAAAATGATAGTATCACGGACATGATAGTGTATTTCAAAACAAGAAAGAGTCTCCATTCCAGTTCTTTTAATGCCTAGTAATAGCATTGGCGGTCAGATCAAATGAAATAAGTAAACTAGCCTTCGATCTGTTAAGTTCAGCACAAGTGTCCTGTTTATATTAACAAGCCTTGCAGCATCTCAACCACACATCACTTCATGCTAATAACTCGAAAATTTTACAATACATGAACATATTAGAACCATTTAACAACAACAAATAGAAAAAGTTCACATGCTTCAGAAAATTAGAAATCTCCTGAAATATTAGGTCATATTATCAACGTGAATAAGATTCATTACATAAACAGATATAGACTGATGGACTGTAAGGTGAAGGGCTCAACCTAAAAAAAGCCATATCATAAATGATGCCAAATTCAGGCATATATGTAAAGTACCATGTTGGTTACTTCAAAATTTGATAAAGTACTATATGCAACTTTGTCCTAAACAAATGCACGACTTTCCATTCAAATGCCCATGTATAGTGTTGAGTGTTCCCTTAAGATTCCAAACTCTAACAAGTTTTCTTTTTATTTAATTATTTCAAAACACAGACTTAGGAAGTGTTAAATTTTATATTACGACGCCGATAGCTCGCAATAGATGTCCCCATATGTTTTCAGAAAAAGGAGATCAACTTGCATCCAAAACATTATAGAAGAAAATGAAGCGTGATCTAAATAGTTAATGGAGCTAAATGTAATGTACCGATGACTGTCAATGCTTTAGCGAAAAGAGACTTCGCAACAACAATGAAAAACACCTAGATCCCCCTAAAAGGGAAAGACTACTAAAACTGGGTGCTCCTACGTATTAGTCAGCAGCACGCTCCCCTATAAGAGATGGTTTTAAGTGATGGCATACTGGCCCATGAACAAAAAGTATAGAAGCTTGTTTGATCATTTTTTAGAAACTTCCAGTGAGAACAGGCATACATTTACTGCCTGACAGAGTTTACCAGTAGTCACATATTTTTGAGTCCTTCAGTTGACAGCAAATAATGTTAATTACTATTCAGTAGAATACACTCATCACACGAGACAAATGCCAGACACATGGATCAAAAGTTGAACAGCATCTACCTGTCCCAAAACTTTCTTCACCGCAAACTGAACAGAGTCCAGCATCCATTAAGTTACCAAAAAATTTCCAGCCAGTTGGTACCTAAAAGGAGAGCTGATAAGATCAGATGCTTCTGGAACCACTAAAAAAGAAGAGTCCGTATCCAACTATATACCTCAAAAAATTTCAACTTTAGATTCTTTGCCACAACATCAAGTGCAGCTGATGTTGGCATGCTCCTGCAAAATGATGAAAAAAGATTAGCCATGCAAAATAGGCTGGATAACACCTCTTTGGACCAAAATGATAACATGGCGAAGGTGAAAGAACCAACCCATATTTAAATCACTTGAGAAACACAGACTCAAACTGTAGCAAACAAACAATAGAATGCACCAACTAAGCAGTGTATCTTTGCTGCTTTAAAAGAGCATCGACACTCAAGACATGAAGAAACTAACGGAACCCAAAAACAAAATCAGACCATGGAGAAGCCCGTCAAATGCAAAAAAGTACAGAATACATTCGGTTTAGGATTCAACAGCCATGCGAAATCGCTTGAAGTGCTTTCTGAAGCACCGTAAAAAAAATTCTAAATTAACTTCAAGAAAGGCAAAACCATAATCTACCATAATGATAACCCCAATTATCAAGTAATCAAAACCCATCCACCCATCCCTCTGTCCCACCGAGTAATGCAACATCCCGGAAAAAAGAATGAATGAGTTGAAAAGAAAATAAGAAAAAATTGTGGTCCCATTCTTGAATTGAGAGTTTACAGGTTTCAATTTTCATACTAATGCCCATTTTTTATTTGTAGGGATTCGGAAGCTTCAGAGACTGCATATGTTATAAACGTTTTTATCTAAAAGACCTATAGTTATAAAATAACAAAATTAAAATGAAGTGATCAATTTACTATTATATCGTGAAAGGAAGCTTTTCTCTGGGCTGTGCACAAGACCAGAATTGGATTAACTTGATTGGATCCTAAACTAAAAGAAATATATTTCCAAGTAGGATCGAGAAATGGATACATGATCGCATCAGGCAGTGGTACTTTATCTTATCTTGATTATTTACATCTTGACAGATCCAAATTCCAGACCAAATATCAATAGATAATATCAGAATTAATAATCCCACAAATCTGTGAATGGCAGTATTGCAAAAGTTTGTTAATCTAAGAAATAAAAAAAGAAATTTAACTATAGGACATAACAATAAGTATAAGTATTGCAAAAGTTTGTTTATTAAGAAATTTAAAAAAAAATTAACTATAGGATATGACAATAAGTAAACATACAATTCAAAAACTTTTTTAAAAAAAATTAAACAGTTGTGCTAACATTTCTGAAAGGAAATCATACTGAAAACCTGACATCAAGACTTGTATGCTTGTACTAAATCAAATTGACCTCCAGTCTGTAAATAAATTCTCTTGTTTCAGACAAAATCTCACTCGTCTCAACTGAACATGGCTTCATACTGAGGCCATATCACATTTACCCTTCATGAAGAAATGTGACATTTATGGAAGAATTGTTTGCATTGCACATAGCTATAGCTGGAGGCAAGTATTAGACCCATAATGTGCTGCAAAGTCTTTCCAGTGAATATAATGAATAACATGGATTTAACATACAGCACCTATGATGGTAATTTGCCAACCCCAGTGTACATTAATCCTAAAAAACCTACTAAGTACCAGCTGTGCTGGTTCCTTAAGGTATATAAGAACAGTCTTACTTGTGACCACCAGTGCATCCAAACACTTTTACTACCATGGTAAAGTTTTTACTACTGCTATGGTATGTGATATAAAAATCGTTAACCCCTTAGTGCACGGCAATGACATAAATGTGTTACAGCATTGAAACAATAATAAACAAGCAGTTTAACAAAATATGAACATACACAATAAATGTCTAAAAGATACAGAAATGTCTACCTTGCAACACCCTTTAATCCAGAAGAAAAATAAGGAATGGATGCCACCGCATTGGCAGCAATAATTGCAACTGAATCTGATGGCGTCACGAAAAATCTGGTGAAGCAAAAACCAATTTTAAATCTATATATCATTTTATCATCCTCGTCCTGCCTTTACGTATAGACATACCTTTTACCCAGGATCATATTACGATCTGCATCACCATCGGCAGCTGCACCAAATTCTGGTGGTTCATCTTTTGAACTTGATTTACCTAATCCCATTCGTTCAACTAGTTCCTTTGCATATGTCAGGTTAGGGTCAGGATGTCCGCCTCCAAAGTCTTCCTGTTGGCACAAGTAATAAGCAAGTAAGTTTTGTTAACACATAGCTCAAGCTTTGCCCAAGCATCTAGAGGCTTCAAGACATACCTTAGGCGTACAGTTCAATAGTGAACTTTCTTTGGCACCAAGTTCTTCGACAAATATACGCTTGGCATATGCTCCAGCAACACCATTTAATGCATCATAACTGTCAAATGTAAGTCAAGCTCATAAGTGTGTGCTTTTTTAATGCAATGGAACATGGAATGGAGTTCAATTTTTTTGGTCAATTTAGTACTGGGGACACATACCAGAATGTGAAATTTGGAGATGTAAGCAGCTTCTTAATAGACTGAAAATCAAATATTTTCCTGAGAAAGAAATGGAAAAGCAGTTTAATAATAGTTTGAGTAAGTAGTTTTTACCAATATAACATCTTTTTGGTCTGATGACAGTAGTTACTTGCACAATACAGAAATCTCGGCCTCCACGTGAACATCATGTTGTGATACTAAGTAACACTTAAATACTGAGATTTTAATATGCTTCACTTATGTAGCATGCAAACATATGATTGAAGAGACTATAAAGCTACTGGGTTTATGAGAGGTAGCTTACTTCATCAATTTCACATAATCATCAGCTGAGTCAATAACCTCCACATCAAAGTTTCCTTCAGGTCCACTAAAGCTAGTAACCCCTATTGCAGAGATATCTACCTGCAATGTATATGACAAATACAAATATCCTGTAATAGAGGGATTTGCATAGATTAAATAACAAGATCTAAAAACAAGTAAAAGCTTCAGATAAGTATTTACCTCCGGTAGATCTTCTGCTATGAAATACTCCTTTATTGTTTTTGTATTGTCATAAATTTTATCAGTAATAGCCTCAGGAGCAGGTCCACCATTTTCCATGTTGTATTTGATCCCAAAATCCTGACAAAAAAGAATTTTTTAAATGAAATAATGGGAAAAAAGGCTAATAAACTACATGGGAAAGTACAATACCCAATGAAATCATCATAAGTTTCCAAAAGTTGAATTACATAGAAGGGAGTTTAGCTTCTGGCCAATCTAGAGGAAGTTGGGTAGCTAAAGTAAATCACAGACACTACAGCACGGTCTGTGCGACCAACAAATTCTATCAAACCATTTAACTTTTCCCCTTCCATTACACATTTAATACAGTTGATGAAATTCATACGTAGAGGAAAATTCTGGAAAGAATGTAGGCAAAGCCGACACCATAGGAACAACGAGTGAGCAGACACAAAAAGCAGAGAGTGGAACATGCACAGAAAACACGAGAATTTACACCCTAACACTAAAACTCTACTAAACAAGAAAACAACACAAAAAAATTCTAAGATACTAAGAAATAACCATGAAGAAACTTCATTTCATCATTTGATATATGGCTCCTTGATAGTTTCAAGTTCCAATTACAACCCTCAAAAGGATCTTCTCTCCTTTCTTTCAGAGTGCTCCTTTAGAAACATGAGCTGCCATTTCCAGAAGAAATACATGAATACCAACAGAAGAGTTCCACAATGAATCAGCTATCTGTTACTACTGTAGAAGCTAAATAAGCATTAAAGCAAAAAGCTAAACCTCTGCTCTCTGGGTGAAATCCAAGTAAACAAGTGAAATATCCAACATATCAAATTCCTAATGACATGTACCCTATGTCATTTTATAAATAAAACATTGCAGGAACTACCGCCAGTGTCTTCTTCAAAAAGGTATGCATGGTAAAAAGAAGATGACAAACATGCATGATCCTGTATGGAAACAAACTGTAGGACATACAGGCTCAGTCATCTCATAACTTAGAAATTTCAGAACCTGTATGTATCGCAATTGCCACCAACAAAAAGATAATTACTAAAACAAAGAAGTCATTCAATTGCAAGAAAGGGCATTGAGCATGCAACAAACATTATAAATGTTTTTCAATTCGGATGGACTCTGATCTCTCCTGTACGTTTCCCCCCTTTTTATTTTTACCTTTCTGAGATAACTGCGATCTCTTTGATTGTAGATACATCCATAAATTTTTTTATTATTCTTTTTTTCCTTTTTCTGTTCTCCTTTTCATCTACTGTATTCATCATCATCACAATTTCTTGGTATATGTTTGTACCAGATCACCATTGGAACGGCAAATGACAGCATAAGAGAACTATACCTCACGAGGACCACCAGGATTGTGACTAGCCGTTAATATAAATGCACCTGAAGCCTTTGAACCCTGTGATTATCAAAACGGTAGACAGATGTCATGACATATAATAATGCTAAAAGAATTCGAATGATGCGGAAGGACGATCATACATCTGCACCAACTCTTTCACGAATGACAGCTGATACAGCTGGAGTTGAGAGCAAACCATTTTGGCCAATCCAGACACGCCTTACTCCATTTGCGGCTGACATTTTTGTTATAATCTGTCAATTATATGGAGTTTGAATAATTAAGCATCCTAAAATATGGAAAATGGATTAACATAGTTAATAGGAAGCATACAACAGCAGTGACAAGACACCCCCTGTTTTGGAGCTTATGAGAATAGGTTGCAGGAGGAAAATGAAAATAAGTGATCAAGCATTGAGGTATTGGAATTACCTGAATGGCATCTTTAGAGAAATAACGACCATCTCCAGAAACAACAAGTGTGGCACCTGTATTATGGACATCACACTTAGCAACTGATTTAACTAAAAGAATTATTTTCTCCAATATTGCAACAACTAAAAAGTTAGATGAAATGACCTGTAATTCTAACTCAGGAACGGCGCAGCGTATATAGGTTGAGAAGCTAAAAGGTATTTCATTTCGAGAAATATTTTGCAAATATACTGGTAGATAGAAGATGTTGGATTGCCTTTTTTTTCTGCTGTCGTGAGAAATTTTCGGTTCATCGAGATTGCTTAGTCTAAGTAGGATAATTGGAAGGTCCCATTTCAACTTTGTTTCAGTAACTAGAAACTAATCTCCTAGCCTCTAGTTACCACCTATCGTTCCATCTTTCTTCATATGTTTAATCAATATTTCAAGTTAAACCAATTATTGGGTTACCAATACTGAAGTACCAAAGAAAGCTAATGCAACAGGGACAGTAACCACAATTATGCTTAACTCTAATAACAGCAAATTACAATGTACTGGGAAAATATTTAGGGGCAAAGCAATGGCATAAAAGCTGCAATATGATCAGAACAATAAGAAATTGAACATGCAAGTCTAGAAATTATATGCATCCTTGTGCTTATCTACATGACGCATTTCCCCGGAAGAAATGGACATGAGTTTTGCAGGCTTTATGCTATTTAATCAGTAGGCATTAGACAATACTAGTGTCAGTATAGAAAATTTAAGTACACAGAGCTTCATGCAGAAAAAAGTTATAATTAATCCTCAATATTACAGGCTTACAGCATAAGACTTTTCTCAAAAAACAAATAAACATCGATGCATCAGTCACTTTGAATAGAAAGAAAGGAAGTGATTCTTACCTCTCACTTTGTCGGCAGAAAGGGCATTAAATGTTGACTGAACAAAGTTATGCAGGTAGTTGGGTTGCTTAAACACTACCACCTGAAAAAGGAAAATGATTCTCAAGGGATCCCAGATGAATATCATTTTTAAACTCTGTTATGAACTTATATGTGTTAGATTTTAGTGTCCCACGTTTATTTATTTTTTTAACCAACTTTAGTGGTCACGTTTTTACTCCCACGTTTTTTTAGTTTAAGAAACTGCTCATGTTTTATTTTAGTTATATAACTACTCACGTTTTTATGCTAAATTCTTTTTAGTTTAAGAAACTGCTCATGTTTTATTTTAGTTATATAACTACTCACGTTTTTATGCTAAATTCCTATTGGTCAATAAATTAAGATAACGTTATATAACTACTCACGTTTTTATGCTAAATTCCTATTGGTCAATAAATTAAGATAACTACTCACGTTGATGGAATGTGAGTGATTATTCTATTTAAAAGGCTTGGTCCTCTCTCTACCGGGAATGCGAAAAAAATTTCTCTCCGAGAAAATTTCGGAAAAGTTCAAGAGGGTTAAGGGAGAGAAACTCAAGTCTTCAAGGTTGTTCATCTTGCAATCAATTTCTCTTCAAGTTTCAAATCATGGATCAAAGTACGTTTTCTTAATTAATTTTCATTGTGAAAATCATTTGTTCTAAGATCTTGGCATAATGATAATCAAATCAAAAATTAAAGTATAGTTTGATTTGCTTAAATTTAAAGAATTAAGGTTACATGTGGTATCAGAGCCTAAGTTAAAGAACTTATGATTTTCCATCATGATATTTATTAATTAAGTTTTCTATTAAGCCTTGATAAAATTGTTCCATTACTGTTAATTGAATGTTTAGAATTCTTTAATTAAATGTTTTGATAATTTCGTGTTAAGCTAAATACATAAACCATTAATGTGAAATCACTGTAAAATTCGGATTTAACTGTTCATTCATTATGTATACATATTTTGGTTGAACTAAATGTTTAAGAGAAATAGCCTAGTGTAGGTGCTTGGGAGAATGAAGAGGTCTGCAGTTCGAACCCTACAGCCACACTAAATATTTCTAGTTTTTGATGGGCCTTGGGCCTTGGGGCACTTGGGGCTTTTGAATTCTAATAATATTTTTGTTTGCTTTCTTTTTTTTTTTTTACCTGCTATTATGGTTATGCTATTTTGGTTTATAACTGTTAACTAGTTATGTATGAATTGTTAGTCTCCATGAATTGCTGGTTTGCGGGTTTATTATAACACTGTTGTCTAAATTATATTGTACAATTTGAAATTCAACTCACTCATGGATGGTTTGTTAGTCATACCTTGAAGTTCCATGCTTATCAAATTGTAATAATATAATTTTCAATTACTCATGATTAAGTAATGCTACTAATGAAATGACATGATCATATATATATTGTCATGAGTAAATTGAGGTTTATTGATTATAAAATATTTAAGAATCGCCCAATGGTTGATTGGTAAATTTTATAATCTATAAACATGACTGTGGTTAATTAATATATCTGATTAGATATGTTTAGAATATCCAAAGATAACAAGCATGTCTAATTGGAGTATATAATTGCCAACTATATGAAATAAAAAGTAAGCATCAATTATGTTCATTGTTGTACATTAATGGATTACCCAAAGGAGAACTTCCATGTACGTTTATTGTTTAATTTAAATGTTATCTGAAAATGTGTTTAAGTTTAAGCTTATGACTCAAAGCATTAATATGTCAGTATTCTATATATTTGTAGCACTTATTTCTCTTCATTCGCAAGCCTTGTCTATTGTAAAGTTTAATGGGCTTAATTTTCATGAATGGTGTGAACAAGTTCAGTTTCATCTAGGTGTTCTGGATCTTGATTCAGCACTGTTGTATGACAAGTCCGCTGCTATTACTGATTCTAGCAGTGCTGAAGAAAGATTTTTCCATAAGGCTTGGGAAAAATCAAATAGACTTAGCTTAATGTTCATACGATTGACGATAGCAAACAACATTAAGTCCACAATTCCTAAAACTGATAATGCAAAGGAATTCATGAAGTTTGTGGAAGATCTCTCGCAATCTAACTCTGTTGATAAGTCAATTGCAGGGACATTAATGGGTACGTTGATCACCATGAAGTTCGATGGTTCTCGTACCATGTATGAGCGTATCACTGAAATGACAAACACAGCAGCAAGATTGAGATCTATGGGAATAGAAGTGAGTGAAAGTTTCCTTGTGTAGCTTATCATAAACTCATTGCCCTCTGAGTATAGTCCATTCCAAATAAACTACAACACTAAGATAAGTGGAATGTGACTGAATTGCAAAGTATGCTCATTCAAGAGGAAGCAAGGCTTAAGAAATAAGGAATTCACTCAATTAATCTCATGGGTCGTCAAGGAGTTGGAAAGAAACCAAGAAAGAAGAATGGAAAGGGCAAGAAATGACCACTGAAGGTTAATGAGGCATGTCCAAATCCACAAGAAGGAACGTAAGAATGATAAGTGTCATTTCTGCAAAAAGCCTGGACACTATCAGAAAGATTGCCTGAAACGTAAGGCATGGTTCGGATAAGTGTCATTTCTGCAAAAAGCCTGGACACTATCAGAAAGATTGCCTGAAACGTAAGGCATGGTTCGAAAAGAAAGGTAAACCTCTTGGACACTATCAGAAAGATTGCCTGAAACGTAAGGCATGGTTCGAAAAGAAAGGTAAACCTCTTGCTTTTGCATGTTTCGAATCAAACTTGACAGAATTTCCTTATAATACTTAGTGGATTGATTTTGGTTCTACCACTCATGTTTCAAATACGATGCAAAGATTCCTTACGACCCAAACCATAAGTCCAAATAAAAATTTCATCTTCATAAGAAATCAAGTCAAAGCTCCAGTTGAGGCCGTTGGAACCTATCGCTTGATTTTAGACAATGAACATCATTTAGATCTTTTTCAAACCCTTTATGTTCCTACTGTTTCTCGCAACTTAGTTTCTTTGTCTAAACTTGATACCGCTGGCTACTCTTTTAAATTTAGGAATGGATGTTTCAATTTGTTTAAGCATAGTCATCTTATTGGTTCTGGTATTCTCTTTGATGGTTTATACAAAGTAAAGCTTGATAATCTTTTTGTTGAAACTCTGTTAACCTTGCATCATAATGTTAGAACTAAACAATGTTTAGTGGATGAAAGTTCAGCTTATTTATGGCATAAACATTTGGGGCATATTTCCAAAGAAATAATACAAAGATTGGTAAAGAATGAAATCCTTCATAATTTGGATTTTACCGATCTTGGTATTTGTGTGAATTGTATTAAAGGAAAACATACAAATCATACAATTAAAAAAACCGCCACAAGAAGCACACAACTCCTTGAAATTATACACACTGATATATGTGGACCTTTTGATGTTTTATCCTTTAATAAAGAAAAATATTCTATCACCTTTATTGATAATTTTTTACGTTATGAATATGTCTATTTGTTGCATGAAAAATCTCAATCAGTAGATGCCCTAGAGGTGTTTATTAATGAGGTTGAAAGACAATTAGACAACAAGGTGAAAATTGTTAGATCTGATAGAAGTGGTGAATTTTATGGAAAATATAACAAAACAGGGCAATGCCCTGGTCCATTTGCTAAATTTTTTGAAAAACGTGGCATATGTGCTCAATATACTATGTCAGATACACCGCAACAAAATAGTGTTACAGAAAAGCGTAATCGTACACTAATGGACATGGTTAGGAGTATGTTGAGTTATTCCTTTACCCTGGTCATTGTGGATGTATATTTTAAAAACCGTAATGTATTTGTTAAACAGGGTTCCTAGTAAGGCAGTTTCAAAGACTCATTTTAAACCGTGGACAGGAAGGAAACCCAATTTGAGACACCTTCATGTTTGGGGTTGTTCTGCGGAAATACAAATTTATAATCCACATGAAAAGAAACTGGACTTAATAACAACCAGTGGTTTCTTCATTGGTTATCCAGAAAAATCTAAGGGTATTGATTTTATTGTCCTAGTCATAATACGAGAATTGTTGAAACCGAAAACGCCAGGTTTATTAAAAATGGTGACATTAGTGGGAGTATGGAATCACGTAAAGTAAAAATCCAAGAAGTTAGAATGAATATTCCTTTACCTTTAACTTCTTCTCAATTTGTTGTTCCTACAATTGTTGAACAGTTTAACGATTTTTAAGAACAACAAATAAATGATCAAACACTCCATAAAGATGTTATTACCAATGAACCTGTAATAGATATACCCCATGAAAAAGTAGCATTAAGGTCTCAAAGACAGAAAAAATCTGCTATTTCTGATGATTATGTGGTTTATTTACAAGAGTCAGAACATGACCTTGGAATTGATAAAGATCCGGTTTTATTTTCACATGCCATGAAAAGTCACAAATCTGATAAATGGTTTGATGCCATGAAAGATGTGTTGAAATCAATAGAGCATAATGAAGTTTGGGATGTTGTAGAATTGCTTAAAGGTTGTAAAAGAGTTGGTGTAAATGGATCTTTAAGACCAAACATGACTCAAATGGCAATATCGAACGATACAAGGCTAGACTCGTTACCAAAGGTTTTACTCAGAAGGATGGTGTTGACTATAAAGAAACATTTGTTCCTGTTTCGAAAAAGGATTCATTTAGAATTGTTAGGCTATGGTGGTGGCTCATTATGACTTAGAGCTACATCAAATGGATAAGAAAACTACTTTTCTAAATAGAAATTTAGATGAAGAAGTTTACATGGACTAACCTGAGGGTTTTCAGTTGAAAGAAGGGAACACATGGTGTGTAAACTTAAGAGATCAATATACGGACTCAAACAAGCTTCCCGACAATAATATCTTAAGTTTAATGATACTATCACATCTTTTGGATTTAAAGAAAACATTGTCGATCGATGTATATATCTAAAGATCAGTAGAAGCAAGTTTATATTTCTTATTATGTATGTTAATGATATCTTGCTTGTTGCTAATGATCTTGGCTTGTTACACGAGACCAAGAAATTTCTCTCTAAGAACTTCGAAATAAAAGATATGAGTGAGGCATCCTATATGATTGGAGTTAAAATATTCCGTGACAGATCACAAGGATTGTTAGGGTTATCTTAGAAATCATATATTAATAAAGTTCTAGAGAGGTTCAAGATGGATAAATGCTCTGCATCTGTTGTTCCAATTCAGAAATGGGATAAATTCAGTCTTATGCAATATCCAAAGAATGAGTTGGAACACAAACAAATGGAACAAATTCCTTATGCATCTATCGTTAGGAACTTGATGTATGCTCAGATCTGTACAAGGCCAAATATTAGTTTTGCTGTTGAAATACTAGGTAGATATCAAAGTAATTCAGTATTGGATCATTGGAAAGCTGCAAAGAAAATATTAAGATTCTTGTAAGGAACAAATGATCATATGCTCACTTATAGAAGATCTGATCACCTTGAGGTGATTGAATATTCAGATTTTGATGGATGTTTGGATACAAAAAAATCCACATTTGGCTATATGTTTCTTCTAGCTGGAGGAGCGATCTCGTGAAAAAGTGCAAAACAGTCTATCATTGTTGCATCGACTATGGAGACTGAGTTCGTGGCATGCTTTGAGGCCACTGTTCATGGATTATGACTGCAGAATTTTATTTCGGGACTTGGAGTTATTGAGTATTGCCAAGCCGCTGAAAATTTATTGTGATAATTCTGCAGCAGTCTTCTATTCTAAAAACGACAAGTATTCGAAGGATGCTATATGGAATTAAAATACTTTGTCGTTAAAGAAGAAGTTCAGAAACAAAGAGTGTCAATTGAGCATATTATTTGTCGTTAAAGAAGAAGTTCAGAAACAAAGAGTGTCAATTGAGCATATTAGCACAAATCTCATGGTTGTGGATCCGTTAACAAAAGGATTGGAAACAAAGAGTGTCAATTGAGCATATTAGCACAAATCTCATGGTTGTGGATCCGTTAACAAAAGGATTGTCACCAAAGACATTTACTGAACATGTCGAAAGAATGAGCATTATTGAAAATCATTACTAACTGTTATGTAAAGTTTATGTTTATTATATATTTGACACTTTGAGCTCATCTAAATATTGTTTCTGATATATTAATACATCCTGTTTTTTTTATTGTTAGTGTACACATGAATGATTATATGAATATTAACAGGATGTGTCTCTGACAAGGACATTATTGTTGGACCATTATGATAAGTCTCATTACAGGTCATATTTAGTTTAAAACTAATATTGTGATACATGGAAGGGACTATGTCGATTTAACTGCATACGACCGCCATGATCCTTATTGGTTTTCTACTTAATGATGATTAATGGTTTGATCAATATGATGATGGAATTAGCTTACACTATGCATATTATGTTATGTTATTAAATCATGATGTTAAATTATGAAACATGGGCCAAATGGGAAAATGTTAGATTTTAGTGTCCCATGCTTATTTATTTTTTTAACCAACTTTAGTGGTCACATTTTTACTCCTACGTTTTTTTAGTTTAAGAAACTGCTCATGTTTTATTTTAGTTATATAACTACTCACGTTTTTATACTAAATTCCTATTAGTCAATAAATTAAGATAACTACTCACGTTGATGGAGTGTGAGTGATTATTCTATTTAAAAGGCTTGGTCCTCTCTCTACCGGGAATGCGAAAAAAATTTCTCTCCATCAAGAAAATTTCAAAAAAGTTCAAGAGGGTTAAGGGAGAGAAACTCAAGTCTTCAAGGTTGTTCATCTTGCAATCAATTTCTCTTCAAGTTTCAAATCATGGATCAAGGTACGTTTTCTTAATTAATTGTTCATTGTGAAAATGATTTGTTCTAAGATCTTGGAATAATGATAATCAAATCAAAAATTAAAGTATAGTTTGATTTGCTTAAATTTAAAGAATTAAGGTTACAATATGCTGATTACAAATTGGATTTCTCCAATGAATTACCTATAACAAAAGCTAATTAATGACTAGAACAAATGATGGATAATATATATTAATATTAGACAAGAAAAATATACAATTAAGTAAAGGATTATAAATTGATTACAGACCTTTGCGTTTCGATCGACAATTCAGCTTAAATGTACGTGTAATAAGAACTGGATAAACAAAGAATATTCTTTTCGTTTCACAGTCTCTAGAAACTGTAAATCTCACTATTCAAAGATACAATTCCTTCGCTAATTCAACCAAAGCTTATTTGTGTCCTTCATTTTAGCTTTCATTTTCTTTTCTTTTCAATTGCTCGCTATTCTTTGCAACCAATTATTTGTTAAGACTTCAGTATTAGGTATCAAAATTACACTGTACACTAGTTTCTCAAGATGCATTAGATTAAGATTTGCAAAGTACGCACTAATGCAATTGTAGAACTCAGATGAAAAAATTTATGCAGTAATATATCCAGCATAATTTAGATAAGTAAATTTCGACGAGAAATCTACACATGTGAAGAAAAAGACTTCAATTGCGATCAACACAGAATTTAAAAGAAAAAAATCAATCTTTTTTGGGAGATTTGCGATTCTTGGATCAGGATCTTTACCTTCTTCCTCAATCCCGAGGTGCCGGGCTTCTGGCCGTCGATCGGAGAGGTCTCCTTGCGATCAATCTTGAAAACCACCATTATTTTAGAGAGAGAGAGAGAGAGAGAGAGAGAGAGGCGATTCAGACGAGAGGTGGTGATGAGAGAGAGAGTAATCAGGTGAGTGAGGCGCTCGGTTTTATGCAGCTGAGAGGCGGAATAATGCTGTTAGTGGCGAACAGCGAACAGGTTTTTTGCGTGACGTGTCCTCTAAGAAATGGAGGGCCGACTGGATGTGGGTCCCGCGGGATGAAGATCTGGACACGTGGAAGGCCGGGAGAAGTGTGAGCCGAAAGTGTAGACGGAGGTTAGGACTTCAAAATGAGAACTCGATGACGGATCTGAGTGGTCGTAAGAACAAAATTTTAAAACAGTTCCAAAAAGATTTTTATTTTTCAAAATCGGTCCGGTTTTTTTTTATTTATCAAAATTGACACGATTTTTGCCATGTGGGCTTAATGACATTCCTAAACAGTCGGGGTTGGCAACCCCGACTGTTTAGGACATGCAAATTTCGGGTTTAAGGATATTAATTAGGGTTTAACACCCTCCTAAACAGTCAGGGTTGCCAACCCCGACTGTTTAGGAACGTCATTAAGTCCATGTGGTAAAAACCGGGTCGATTTTGGTAAAAAAAAAATGGGTCGATTTTGAAAAATAAAATTTTTTTTAGGGCTGTTTTGAAAATTTGTTCGTGGTCGTAATTTTCTCAAATGTCGTTTGCCACATCAAAGTGCCCCTGCGAAAGCAAATAAGAATCGAATATTTAATTGCACTTGAATACCCTATGGTTTCTCTTATTTTGTGCCTACCCCGTGCAAAGCATTGTCCGTTTTTTTGTTTCCGTTACAATAATTCTTTCTTAAATACACAATAATTTTTCATGAATGCTACAATATTTTTTAATGCTATAGTATTCTGTTTGCGTTACAATAATAATATTATAGTAATTTGTTGTATCATTTACTGTAGTATGAATAGTGAATCTTTGGATCCTCCTATAAGTATAGAGGAGTAGATATGTCCTCAATTTTCTTTGTCAGCACCTATTTATGCTAAGGTTTTTGATATTTATACTTTAATATTCTTAGTTATGCAAACGTAATAAATTCTTCTCGGAATTCTCATATGATGTTTACATGCTATTTTTTTACGCAAAAATAGGGCTAAACACCCTATTCAAAACAAAACTAGGAGAAGTTTATGTTTGCATGCTAATTTTAGAGCACAGACAATATTTATATATTTATCATTAAATCTATCAAAAATCTATTTTAAAATAGAATTATGATATATTTAAAGTAATATAGTTTTAACATTAAATTTAATTAAAAAAATAAGGGTCAAAAAGTTTGAACATAATATTTTAGAGTCAGCTGAGAATTTTTGGGGGAAACTCTAGTTTTTGCATAACCAAGGATAATTAGGTTAATTAAGTGCAAAATTTTAAAAAAAATAGGATTTATAAGTGAGGACATATAAGTGTGAAGTTGGGTGAACTATACGTATCTAAGTACAATTAAGCCATAAAAATAAGGTAATATACGAGCGTTCCCAGTGCATGAGTTGAAACTATTGAATGCATTTATTGTTTTAACTCCTTCGAACCAAACGCAGTTATTATTATAGTTTGATGGTAAAATCCAAATCACAATATGAAGTATCAGAGGTCCATCCTTTTTAGTTGAGGGCATGACGAAAGTCGAGTTTAAAACCAATTAAGATCCTGAACTGCTGAATCAAAATTTAAAGAAAAACATCTTGATATAAACCTATTTTCTTACTTAAAATCATAAGTTTAAGATCTACCCGCATAAATTCGATAGAGATGTGATAAGTTTTAGATGCATCCGGTCTTTTTCTAGAGATGCCATATGTTACTTGTCACGCTAGAATGCAGGGCGTGTCATCCACTACAAATGTTGTTGGCAAAGATTTTATTTTAGGGGCTGTTTGGTTCGCTATTATAAGGGGTGGAAAACTCAGAAAACCCCTCCACATCAGATTTTTAGCCCTCCACGTCAGCTTTTTTATTTCCGTCCATTTCTTTGTGCCGCTTTGGTTCGCTCGAATGAAAAAGGGAAAACTCTGCTGAAATCGCCGCCAACTAAGATTTTTTTTCCCTCTCCGATTTCCTTCCCCAACCAAGTGAAATTGATGAAAACTCTGCCACGTCAGATTTTTTTTTCTTCTCTGCTTTGTTTACAAAAGTTTTCCTTTTTTTTTCTATGCGAACCAAACATAAGAAAAATAAATACATTGGTTTCCCACCATTTTTTATGTGCGAACCAAAGCAAAACAATCTATTTCTTGGAAAAGTTTGGAAACCATAAAACTTGTGTTTCTTTACATGGAATTGCATTTCTCTATATCAAGGAAACGAACCAAACAGCCCCTATTTTATTTTCCATTTCCGAAAGCTAGATTCTTTACTATTCTTTTATTAACAGGAGTGTCGTGGCAAACACCTATGTTTCTTAGATAAGGTTTTTTTTTTTTTGCAACTCGATAAAACTAGGTCATTATCACTTTTAATATGATTTCAGCATATACTCTGTTTGGGAAAAAAGCTAGGTCTGAGTTAACCCACTTTTCTTAGTTCATTTATGCCATGAAATCAAGCCAAAATTTTTGTTGCTGTGAAAACGGCGAAGAAATTGTGAAAAACGTGAAGAAAAACCCAAAACAGACTCCACCACACCCTGGTGTAGTGTCTGCCATGGGTGTAGCAGAATCTGCCCTGTCTACCAAGGGTGTGGTCTGCGCCACACCCTGATGTGACAAAATCTGTCATGTCTGCCATGGGTGTGGTCTGCGCCACACCCTGGTGTGACAGACTCGTTTTTAGAATCCTCCTTTGTTTGGGAATCCTCCTTTGTTTGAGATTGTGTTTTATTATAAATAGGACCACGTTTTTTAGGGTTTAAAAAGGAGAGAAAATGAGAAGATTAGCATTGTTTTGAGCACTTTGAGAGGGAGATATTGTGAGGGAGTTGAGAGCTTTGGTTAGGGTTATATTTGAGTGATTTTGTGAGTTGTAACCCGTTGTATTTCTCCTTCATATAGTGAAATCTCTCCATCCTCTCCCCGTGGACGTAGGCAATTGTCGAACTACGTAAATCCTTGTGTTTGGTTTGATTTGTGTCGTATTTTGGTGAATTGCACTCTTGATTTGGTTTGGTTTTCTTCTCTCATCACTCACTGACTCGTTTGGTTGTCGAGCACGCTTCCGCACGACGCGCAACAAGTGGTATCAAAGCTCGGGCTACGCTTGGGCTATTTGGAGGAGGAGATTAATTTGGAGGCTCGTCTAGGGCTTCGTTTGGTGATAAAGGTGAGATCTTTTGGTAAAAGACTCTATCTTTTCAGTTTTGGATCTATTCTTCGTTCGTTGGTGCGTTGAGAAAGATGTCGGGAAAGAAGGTGCTTTGGGTGTCGAGGGTGGTGCTTCTGGCGCGAAGACCATTCAGAGTTTGAATATCCACTCTATGAAAATAGATGTGGAGAAGTTTAATGGCACAAACAATTTTGGATTATGGAGATGCGAGGTTTTGGATGCGCTGAACGCGCAAAATTTGGAGGATACATTGGAGTTAGATGGCAAGCAAGATGAGATTGAAGAGAATGTTTGGAAGAAGATGAATCGAACGGCGTGTGGTGTGATTAGATCTTGTTTGAATGAGACTTCTGCGAAGAAGATTTGGGAGATTCTCGAAAGCAAGTATTTGACCAAGAGTGTGGAAAATCGCTTGCATTTGAAGAGGAGGCTTTATCGTTTCCAATTGAAGAAGTGAACTTCCATTAGAGATCACATGAACCACTACACTAAGCTTCTTGTGGATTTGGCGAATGTGGATGTCGTGATTGAAGATGAGGACAAGGCGTTGCTGTTGTTGAGTTCCTTGCCCGACGAGGAATATGAGACCTTCGTTCTTACTCTGATTAATGGGAAGGCATCACTTTCGTATAGTGAGGTCACTGCCGCACTTGTGAATTATCAGCTTTGAAAGAAAGATAAGGAGGCTTCAGTTGAGCCGGTAGCAGAGGCGTTGGTCGCAAGATGGAAGAATCTGAACCGGAAGAATTGGAAGTCACAGTCTAGAGTAGGGCATCCTACAATTGGAAAAGATCAGTGTGTTTGGTGCAAGGAGACTGGTCATTGGAAGAAAGACTGCCCAAAGCTCGACGAATGGATGAAGAATAAGCAGAAGGGAAAAGGGAAGCAACCATCATCAGAAGCAAACATCGTATCGGATGGTAATAATTCTGACTCTTCTATTTATTCGCTTTCTATCAGTCCTACAGATAGCTATTCGGAGGAATCTGAATGGATATTGGATAGTGGTGCGACCTATCATGTGTGCCCTAGAAGGGAATGGTTCTCTAGTTTTGAGAAGCTGGATAGTGGTGTGGTGTACATGGCTGATAACCGTACATGCCAGATCCTTGGGATAGGAAGAATTCGCATAAAAATATTTGACGGGACTGTTAGAGAGTTAAATGATGTGAGATATGTTCCTTCTTTGAGGAAGAACTTGATCTCGATTGGAGCTTTGGTTGGAGAGGGTCTGAAGGTTCGTGTTGAGGACATGGTTCTCGAGATTGCGAGAGACTCTCGTATTGAGCGTCAGGAGGAATAACCTGTATTACTTGACTGGAGGTATAGTGGCAGGTGGAGAACTGGCGACTTTTGTTGATTCGACTAGACTGTGGCATTTGGGGCTTGGCCATTCCAGTTGTAGGCATCGACATAGATTGAAAGAGGGTGCAAAGACCTGCAGTTTGAAGTCCAGTGAACATGTTGATGTGAGCAAGAAGACCGAGGTAAAGTATGGCACCTCTATTCACCGTGCTAAGGATCGTTCTGGAGGAGTTCACGTGGATGTTTGGGGGCCTTCCAAGGGGGCATCATTGGGAGGTAATAGGCGTTTGGTTTCCTTTGTTGGTGACTGTTCTAGGCGTGTTTGGGTTGCAACCAAATCCCCATTGGAGAAAGTCCTAGTAGTCTCTAACAGATTGAAGAAGTATGATATTGACAGAAAGGTGAAGGTACTCCATTCTGGTGGTAGGTACAAGATGGACCTGTTTCTGCATTGG